GCCAAAGAGACACTAAATCTCAAGTGAGTGTTCGGGCTAGCTTCAATGCACTGGATCGTGGCTTTAAAGATATAAACAACAATAACAAGAGATAATGAGCTAATGAGACAAGAAAGAAATGAGACCTGGTAATATCAAACGTGATACAACTGAAGAAGGTCACTGGGAATAAATTTATAGAAAGAGAACAATAGGAAGAGAAAAGAAGGGCTCCAACTCAACGATAGTTGAGATTTTGAAGTAACAAATGAATCTGGAGATAATACTCTGAAATACAAAAATACTAAATAATAATCTTGTTTTGCTATGTTATATACTGGTTAGTAGAACTGAAATAAAACTCAAAATAGTAACAATAAATATATTTATAAAAAAAAAAATGTATATAGGTATATGTGTATAAACAATTTACATATAATGCAAAGCCAAATAACAGTGGTAGTGGATGGTGTACACATACAATGGGACCTAATAGCCCCTCCACAAACGAATAATCACTACCACTGGCCAAATAAAGTATAAAATGTCAGTAAACAACAAGAATAGTCCGTATTGTAGCCAAAGTCTTAAAACAAAAAGGTAGTCATTTAAATTTAAATTAGTTCTACTAAAATGAGGTACTAATGACAATATTGTAAAGATATCAAACTTGATAAATCTCTATTACAATTATATTAAATATATATTACATCCAAAAAAGTGCGTTGTTCCATACTCATTATATCATATTTAAAAAAAAAAACCACATGAAATTTATTTCCCTTCCCAAAATCAAAATTGTATTATATCAAAAATGTATTCTATTTAAAAAATATATATATTAAATCAACAAGTGAGTTCGGTCAGACTCTTGAAATCCTAACTAAAACCTAATAACACATGAAGTGTCCCTTTTTTCCTCCCCGAATATTTTATAATTAAATTATCAAAAATTAAATTATCAAAAAAAAGGTATTCACCTTATCATATGCATATGATGAGTTAGATATATAGTAACAAATAATACATAAAAACAAAATAGATAGTAACACAAAAAGTCAAATAGTTAAACAACTTATCTTGACAGCACTATAAGTCCATAGGAAAAACTCCTCTTGGCACGGCTACATCAGTTTATGGCTGTAAAGACGAATCCTGGTCACAAAAGCCACAACCAGTCACTGGTCTCTGGGTGACAGCAAAATCCACGGGTTTGCTAACTATTCAAGAAATTTAGTTACTTGAGTCCTTGAGGGAATATTCTGAAGAGGATATCCTCAAGTAAAGTGAAATTAATATTTTCACGTGACGGAATCTAAAATTATTATTTAATTTAATAAATACAATTCAATAGGTGTAGCAGCATGGATTGACTGCACCAAAACAAAACATCAAAACATCAGGTATTAGGTTAAGTCAACATCATGTCCATAGTATATACCCCCCATTGGGTATGTATTGTGATCATGTCAAATTTATGAAGTTACTTTCGTAGGCATGGCAAGCTTGCGCCATGAAAAGAACATGCGCAGAATATAGAAGGCTGTCCACATTTGTAGAACCTTTTATATTCCACCAAAAAAGTTAGGTAAAAAAAAAGAACCAAAAAAACTTAATGGTAACGACATGGACTAAAACAGAATTTAAGTTTAACTATATAAAAAAAATGACCTTCTGTTCTTTGCAAGTAAATCAAGGAAATTTTATATTTAAATTATTTCGGAACTCAAAAATAAATCTCTAAAGAAATACTAAATACAATGATAAATTTGATTATATGATAAGGAGATAATACGTATGAAATGATTTACTTACATGGAGCTGCAGCACGCCAAAAAAATCTTCCTCTTATGTGGAACTCTTTAGATTATTGTTTATTTAAAAAAAAATAATTATTATTATACATATTTCTATTTTATTCTTCCCCAAATTATCTTCCTTGCTCCAATTCCGTCACTTTGAAGGTGAACAATTTCACCGGTTGACGTGGCTGCTTAGAGTTCTGACCAAAACTAATCGTTCCGCTTCCGCATAAAATCGATCTTCCTTTCAAAGCGATAACAGCGTGTGAGTGGGGAAATGTCGATTTAAAATCGATCGTAGGCGGGTAATAAAAATTTCTTGAGGGGTTTAAATTGGACTAGTCAGTAGCGTAAACGCTACACCTAGATTAGAACCTTGTGGAACCCCTGAAGAAACTAGGTACTTTTCCGATTTGTAACCATTGCAAGCAACAAACTGCGTTCTATTTGGCAAGTAAGACCTCATAAAAGTCACGGCATCCTCAGAAAGACCAAAGACACACAATTTAGAAAGTAATACGCCGTAGTAAATTCTGTCGAACGCCTTTGTAAAGTCAGTATATATGACGTCAACTTGACTTCTATTATCTATGGCCGCTGAGATATATTGTGTAACCACTAATAAGTTTGTCACAGTGGGCCGATTGAAGACAAAACTATGTTGATATTGAGGCAGCTTATTACGAGTGCGTGAATAAATACGATTATACAAAACTATTTCAAAGATTCGTCTGTAGTTTTCTACCTGACCCTTTTCACCAGTTTTGAATATTGGGCACACTTTTGACTCGGATATACCTTGTTAAGAAGACATAAATTAAAAATGTTTAATAGTGGCACTAAGGCACCTATGCAATCCTTAACCAAAAAGAATAGAATATTATCAGGTCCACACGTCATTTTGTCTATAATTTCTTACTAGCAAAAATTATCTCAGACTATAAAATAGGATAAAAATTTAAGTAATCTGCGTTAACTGAGGAAGAGTTAGCCTTGAAATTAATATCTGATGACAGAAAAACACTCTTGAAAAATTCTGCAAACACATTCACAATATTTTGTGGGTCGAAGGTAGTAATGCCATTATATTTCATCACACCAGGAATTCTTGAACTAATATTTTTCGAATTTACGTACGACCAAAAATTCTTGGGGTTGATGGATAAAGCAATTTGGATATTCTCGACATATATATTGTATGCCAAACTGATTTTTAATTTGACAAACCAAATTTGATTAGGTGTCTTAACCGTTGAAACTCAAATAAATCACAATGATTTTTGAATCGTTTAAACTTTTTTCTAAACTTTGCTTTTAATTTGATGTTGTGAATGATATCAGCATCGAACCAGGGTGGGTATTTATGGCTAAAATTTTTGTAAACTGGAATATACTTATTAAACACAGAAAAAATCTTATCATAAAAGTTATTTAAAGTTTCATTAACGTCATTAGAAGTATCCAGAGAATTCCAATTCCTTTCATACAGTTCTCGATATAAAGCAAGAAAATTTGCTTTTTTAAAGTTGTAAGTTAATTGCTCCAAACCATACCTAAATTTAGGCTCTTTTACAAATACATCCGTAAATGTTATTAGAAGAACTGGGTGATGAGAGTCTTCATAGATCAAAAGTGAGTCATCATGCTTCGCTTCACAACTGAAATGCGATAAGACCAAATCTAGCAGTCTACCCAAATGATTAACAACACTGTTAAATTGTCCAAGGACAGTAGAGCCCGCAAAACTTAAAACTACAGAAGTTTTTAAATCAAACATATCATTATCTATAAACCTTGAAACATTAAAATCGCCTAGTACTATGTAGTCATTATTTAAGTAATCAAATTGCCCTAAGCAATCAAGAAAATATTAAAAGTCCACCAAACTGAACCTATCAGGTAAATCAACAACAACTATATAAAAATATTTGTAACCAATCCGGCAATTCACAATAATAAGATAAATTGATAATTGATTCACAATAATAAGATGAATTAAATAAGATTGCTTACAGTTTATACATACAGGCATAATTAATTATTTTTGTTCAGGCGGATAATATATATTCGACAAATGATAAATTAAACCAGTTTTTTTGCCTGTGTGATATGAACGGCAATATAACCAATTATTGCATATAACGGGATTCACAAAGGATGACCAATAAAAATAGGTATTCACGGTTATGGATCTTGTGATAATAAACACTGTGAAAATTTCACTAAAAACTGACTTGTGTAACTCAATTAAATTAACGTTTAATATGAGACACAAATGTTTTTCGACTTTTATGTTATACTATGAACTACTACTATGAACCGAAATATGCTACTATGAACTCTAAAGTATGTTCAGGGGCATTTCGTCAAAATTAGGCTATTCAACAATATGGTGAATGTCATAAACATTAACTGATACCTTTAAATAACACGAGACAAAGGACAAACAGTTTAAAAATTATTAAAAATTCGAAGAAGCTACATATTGGGTGACATTAGGAGAGAGAATGAATTTTTTTATTTTGGATTTTTGCATAATTAGGTATTAAAGTTTGCACCAGTAGTTTTAGTGTCTGCATCATTGATTGATATAGAGTATATTATTAATATACAGTTCCACATTGGTAGTTAAAAATAAAAAAATAATTTCTAAATTTTATTTTATTAAATATAATATCGACACACTCTTTCTTTAACACAACAAATAGATACATTTATTGCACAAAAATGTACTGTTTAAAAAAACATTGTAATGCCCATGGTTGTTTTTAATTATATACATAAAATGTGGAACATAAGCTTTGAGAAAAGTTTCTTATATTTCATATATACAAGTTCGCAAGGGCCGTGATTTGTATAACTTAAGCGTATAAATTTGTATAAAGCGTATATTTGTTTTTTCATTTGTTTAAGTACAAAAAAGTTCGTTTAGAATTACTGCTTTTACGTCCAAAGCATTTAAGTACCTAATTTAGAATGTTGGTTACATTGGTTACCATCAGAAATGACATTTTCTTCCATGCCAGTGGGTTTTACGACAATCAGTGAAGTTCACCCAGGTCCAGACGGCGTAGTACGAGTACTGTCGTAGTACGAGTCCGTCCTCTACCAGTATTAATAAACCAACCGTTTAAGGCGGGGAATATGAAGAAAACTTGCAATAGCATGGAAACACGTCGTTCCACGCTATAGCGAGAGGGAAAATTTAACAAGCTCTCGCTGCCAGCGAAGTTCAGACACTCCGCATAGAAGAAACAGTCCACCTTTTGATATTATAATATAATTTGTATTTAAGTAAAAATAAAACAGTGTAACGAATTCAAATAATTTTATTAATGGTTTTTATATTATTTCTCAAAACTTATGTTCCACTAAAATTATTTTATAGATATTCTATTGTAGTCCTAGTTGCATTTAAGCCGGTTAATATTTACTAACATAATTTAAAAAAAAATTCAGTTCCTCCTCACATATGATGCAAAATAATGCAATATTTACATAGAAGTATTTCATAAGAACTCCTAAATTCATGACATGTTCTATTATTTCATTTCTTACTTAGAACCTCATTTCTTACAAAAAAACCAGGCAAAAACTCAAACAATAAATGTAAAAGTAAATAATAAATGTTCAAAGTATTATATAGATCACAGTTTATCCAAACTACACTTATTTACGTCATGTGGGATTTTATCCAGTCCGAGAATTTGGCTACGTCACAAAACACTGAGTATCTGTTTGACAAATCACATACTCCGTCTTTAACTGGAATGGCCGATGCTATACCTCTTAAATAGTATGCTCCGTCCATGGATATGAAGAATCCTGCACCAGTGTCTCCTGTACAGGGACCTGTGAGTTGTTCACCACTTTCTGAATAAAAAAATACGTTATTAAGATTTATATATTATAAAAAAATTTATATATTAGATTTATATATATATATATATATATATATATATATATATGTATATATATATATATATATATGTATATATATATAATATATATATATATATATATATTATATATATGTATATATATATATATATATATATATATGTATATATATATATATATATATATATATATATATATATATATATATATATATATATATATATATATAGTAAACTCTTAATTATGGGAGAAATCTGCAAGAAAAACTCATAATGTGTATCAATTGTTTCGCCGAACGTTTTCGCCAAAGAGAATTAATTTGGCTTCTTAAGGGCTGAAAGAGAATAAATTATAATTAGCTACCATATATTATCTAATAAAAAACATTTACCTTACCGTAAATTTTAGAAATGTCTAGTAAGGATGTTAAAAAACTTAGCTAGTAACAACATAATGGTGTTTTTTGTTACTATGTGCAAAAAAGTTTTTTTGTTAACGTTGGAAATGTATGGTAGCTTTGAACTTAAAACGCAAAGGTTAACCCAAGGTTAATCGAGAAACCCAATGTAACTACATTTAAAGGAAGTAATTCTTTGAATTGTCGGCAATAACTAAATTTTTGATTGGTATAAAGTTTGAATGTGACGTTCTGTTTTCATAGAACGCAAGCGCTGACAATTACAAGTAGTTCTTTTGCATATTTATGTATTAAAGGTTCATTGGTAAAACCGATGAAGTTAGATCCCAGTCTGGGGAGATATTAGTTTAGAATTTTCTTCATTGAAATTCTTTTTTTTAATTAGTATATTGTTCATGTATAATTATAATAATATCTTATTGAGATGTATCTAAGAAAATCAAGGTAATGTTATCTTTTTTAGTTAATGAAAATTATTATTAAAGTAGGTTAGTTGTTACTAGATATATCAGTCAAGTTAGTTATCTGTGATGTTGTATTGTTTTTGGTATCTGATTTAAGTAAGAAGTGGTATATATCGCTTAGATTCTTAATGTCACTCTTAACATTGATGGAAAAATCGTTATCAAACATATTCATGACAGGAATATGTTTGACATTAATAGAGATCAACTGGGACCGTATTAGAGGTTGTTGTTCCATGTCTTATGATAGATTCATCAGTATCGTCGAATTTCTCTTTAATAACACTTACTTCTCTTTTAATGGTAAATTCTATTAACAAACTTTCGGTACCCCTATGGGAGCAAAGATTTCTCCTATCATTGTAACTTACGTTATGGATTACGTGTTAGACTCAGTCATTCCTTTACTATCCTTTTAAATTCCATTTATTAAAAAATATGTTGATGATATAATTTTGGCTACACCCAATGACAAGGTAGATGAACTATTAGACACCTTTAATAGTTATGACCCCTACATCCAGTTCACTATAGAGAGGGAAGATGGTAATTGTTCCGTCCCCTTTCTCAACATAAGGATGATTAGGGAAAACAACAACATTAAAATAGATTGGTATCAAAACCGACCCATTCTGGTAGATACCTTAACTACCACTCTTACCATAATAACTCTACCAAAGTCAACTTAATCAAACAGATGAAAAATAGAGTAATTAAACTATCAGATCATTCATTTCATACAAAAAACCTACAAATCCTTTAAAAACTTTTTATTTCAAACTCTTATCCAACACCATTAGTAAATAAGATTTTGTTTAACACTATCCATAACGAAGATACTTCACCTTCCATCGTGACTAACAATGCTGATCCTGATGTCTTAAGTGGGAATCCAGTCTCGGATACTCCTATCAATAAATATTTTTCATTACCCTATTTCAGAGATATCACTCCTGGGTTAACAAGGATTCCTTAAAGTGTTGAAAATAGCTTTGGGAATAATAATAATAACATTAAACTTAATGTGGCTTGTAGATCAGCCCTAACAATTTCGAAGATAAAAGATAAGACTCCCATAGATAGGCTTAGTAATATTGTCTACAACATTTCATGCCTCTCTTGCAGCAATTCCTACATCGGCCAAACATCTCAATTATTGAAATCACGTATTACACTACACAAAAGTGATTCTCGACTTCACCCTGACCGCTGTACATTAGCCAAAAATTTCCATTCCACTGGTCATCTCATGGACTATACGAACACTACAATTCTCCACCGTGAGAACAATAAATCTAAAAGAGAGTTCATTGAAATGTCATATTTTCCTTAACGATATTTCCATGAATGTTAAGAGTGACATTAAGAATCTAAGCGATATATACCACTTCTTACTTAAATCAGATACCAAGAACAATACAACATCACATATAACTAACTTGACTGATATATCTATTAACAACTAACCTACTTTAATAATAATTTTCATTAACTAAAAAAGATAACATTCCCTTGCTTTTCTTAGATACATCTCAATAAGATATTATTATAATAATACATAAACAATATACTAATTAAAAAAAAAAAAGAATTTCAATTAAGAAAATTCTAAATTAATATCTCCCCAGACTGGGATCTAACTTCATCGGTTTTACCAATGAACCTTAATGACATAAATATGCAAAAACACTATTTGTAATTGTCAGCGCTTGCGTTCTATGAAAACAGAACCTCACATTCAAACTTTATACCAATCAAAAATTTAGTTACCTATTGCCGACAATTCAAAGAATTTCTTCCTTTAAATGTAGTTACATTGGGTTTTTCTATTAACCTTGGGTAAACCTTTGCGTTTTAAGTTCAAAGCTACCATACATTTCCAACGTTAACAAAAAAACTTTTTTGCACATAGTAACAAAAAACACCATTATGTTGTTACTAGCTAAGTTTTTTAACATCCTAACTCGACATTTCTAAAATTTACGGTAAGGTAAATGTTTTTTATTAGATAATATATGGTAGCTATAAAAGCTATAAAATACCAGTTCCTCCAACTTATAATCGAGGGTAAAATTGAAGGCAAGATAGAAATGGGACGCAAGAAAATGTCCTGGTTCCGAAACATAAGGCAATGGACAGGGATTAACGACATACAATATCTAATACATATTGCAAGAAATAGAGAATTAATGGAAAATGTGATCGCTAACATCCATTAGTGGATTTGCATCTGAAGAAGAAGAATGGTAGCTAATTATAATTTATTCTCTTTCAGCCCTGAAGAAGCCAAATTAATTCTCTTCGGCGAAAACGTTCGTCGAAACAATTGATACACATTAGAGTTTTTCTTGCAGATTTCCCCAATATTTAAGAGTTTACTATTTAACGTTATTAAATGCATAGGAATAAATAAATAGAGGAGATGCTTGTACCGAAGGGAAGGTTTTTGTTAAACTAGCATTAAAAGCAATATTGATATTTAAACTGAGGTAGGTATAAACCATTTTATTACGTAAAATAAAAAGAACAACCAATTGCATAAGTTGGTTTTCTAAAAAAAAAAAAAATCTTGAGCGTCTACAATTGCCTCAAGGTGCAATATTAAAAGTGACCAATGCCCCAAAACCTGGGGTCATTGATTAACATAATTACTTAAACTTTTATTTTAATAACTAACTAAAAACGTTAAAAATAAAAGAAAACAATTTAAATAACGGAAACTTTATTCAACCAAATACTTAAAATCTGAAAAGTTAAAAGTATAAAAAATAGCATGCTGACGTTTTTCTTGAGAACTTCCACGAGCCTTGCAATGACGTCTTTCCTTTCGATATCGTATGGGTTTATATCACTTGGGTGAAAGTTTTCAGATAAGCGAATTCTTTTTAGTTAATTAACCATTCTTGCTGGAGCCAAATATACTATTTTAGCAACATAAAAACGTACGGTCCTTTATCCAACAAGCTGTGTTGGGTAGAATCTGCCAGTTTCCAGTGTCAACTCTGTTCGTGTGTATCATTTGTTATTTTTAGAAGATAAGGAACTCGTCGTTGTCAAAATATGATGAGTTGTTGAGATTCTTCGATTGGGGAAAGACTGATTTAGACTTTTTATTGTTTTGTCTGTTAAATGACGCTTTGTCGATTGTCTGTCCATAACTTTTCTTTTCACAGCCTTTTTCTTAGTATTTTTGTTCATTCTTTTCTCATGTTTGTTTTGTATTTCTGTATTCTCAGGTGTATCGGTTAAGATTCGACACTTTCCCCTTTAACGACCTTTTTGTATGTTTGCTCTTGGACGTGCCTTAGTTAAAGGGTGGACTGCCTTTGGTGACTTGTATGGTAGCCCAGGTTCTTCAATATCAGCAGTTATTTTCGGATTACTAATGAGGGGTCTAAAACAAATGTCTTCATTATTGTTATCAGAATTATCTCTATCAATGACCCAAGAACTATTAAACTCGTGTTGTTGAAATACATTTTCATTTAGCGACCAGATCCCTGAAACGCTAAATCGAGATTCAATATTTGTACGGTTATATGCTAGTTTTTATAACTGACCAGAAATTTCAGCGACATCGTAACTAGATATTATTTTTCCTGGGTTTCTTATCATCCATTCGGTGTAGGCGTTGCTATAATATGTTTTATATGAGCCGAAAACTCTACGACTTAGCGGTTGGAGCTTATAGCTCATATGAGGTGGAATAGTTAACATCACGATTCGATGTTCGTAAGTCGACGATTTTGGGAGTAATATGACTTTCATGATTGTCTAATATTACCAATATTTTGTCATTGACAGAAGGTTTTATGATGTTTACAAAATGCTTTAAATATTCTTAAAATATGACTCGATTGCACTAACCACTAGAATGAGTGGTTTCGACTGAATCAGCAGGTGTGCCTAGTATATGGGACTTAAAATTATCTCTAGAAAATATGTAATAGAAGGAACAGCATGCCTTGAAGCACCTATAGCAGCGATAAATATTTTTGGCGAACTATAATTTTTCCAGGAACGTGAACATTAATGTTACCAATTTCATTAATATTGTATATTTTATTGGCTGTTAAAGCAAGCTTATTTAGTACTTCTTTTAATTTTGAAAAAAATAATGAGACATTGTGTTTGTTGATGCTGGTTCCGCGAGAAATGCTAGTGGCTTGTGGCTTTCTTAAACTCAGTTTCTTTTGGTGACTCATAAAATCAAGGAACCACTGTTTTTTTTAACACGATAGTTATTATTCCAGGATGATGGAACTGGCTTATTGTTGGCTTTAGCATATTCATGAAAGTCCATAATGCATCCATTGAGTTAACTACTGACACAAGTCATTCTCCTCATCAGTAGAAAATACTTTTCGGACTACGCAAGCACTATACGAGAGGAAATTATCAGGACAATAGACCAAAAATCTTAGAAGTGTCATTCTTGAGACATGCAATACCTTTATAGCTACTTGAAGCAACATTTGCCTTTCTTAAATTGTATTGTATGCTTTTACGTATTTTCCTGATCTGCCGGAGCTCTTTTTACACTTTTTAGTGAGTTTAACCTAAAAAAAACTGTTTTGTTATAATATGTCCTACTACGTTAATTAAGTATAGGCATAAATACCATCTAATTTGATTTACCATATCTGATAATTATAGAATTAAAAAAGAAAATTACATGTCCTAAAAATACTTACTTCTCACGAAACAAAACACTATATTTTACGAACGCCACAAACAATTTCTAATCACACTCAACAATTAACTACAAAATAACGATGATTGTCGAAAAGCTGACATAAGAAACCCCGATAGTTCGCGCGCCAAATTAAAAAAAAAAATAAGGTGTTTCATGATATAAGCCTCTCGCCTACAATGAAATATCAAAAATAATTGCTATTTTGTGTTTCAAGCGTTCACATACACGTTAACAAGAGTAATCATTTATTGCCTAAATTACTCACTTGTGCAGAACGTTCTATCAGACGTAACCTCCTTGAATCCTAGAGGACTTGTCAAGCATTCGCTTTGAGCGACAATGGGCATGTCTGCTCGTTTTGCTCTTAAAACATGCGTCAAACCTTCTTGGGGAGAGTTCTCGTCTTGACCGAAACCTGCTATTACTCCCATTTTATTGGTCAGCGGATAGAGATCTGTGTTGCCCTTCCATAGACAAACTGGACTAAGGACATTGGAAAATTGTACTGGACGATCTAAAATATAAATTACGTGAAAACGATTCCATATAACGATTTTGACGCATTATAGCTAGATATGTATGTTGTTTGGCAAATTTTATTTTGTCCTTCCTTCATATCCGTAATAGCATAGCTCGATCTAAACTCACCATATCTGTTGCTATTAATGCGGCCTTACTCTTTGTTTGAGCATCTTAGAGACAAAATAAATTTTGCCAAACAATATTATATTATTTTATGACTAATTAAAGTTGATTATTCCTTACCCAATGAAATAACAGCGATATCCCCATGAGCAGATTTGGAATTTTCCATAAAAGACGGATGCACATCAACTCGCCTAGCTTTTCTGGTGACGGCTCCATTACTGTTCCAGTTGTCTAAGTTATTGGTACCCATTACTAAGAAAATTTCTTCGGTTTTTACTACTTGAAATTTATAGTACTGAACGCAGCGTGCAGCTACAAACAAAAAGAAATGAAATAATTTTTGGTATGTTGTGATAAAGACAATAAAATAAAAAAAAAATAAAATCACTCTGACCAAAATTGGCTAGATAAAACTCACAGGAAGAAATAGAGATCACGGTAGGAGCAAATTCATATAAAACAAAGCATTAGCAATATTGAAACTACTACAATTTTCATAGGTTTCTAAGTATAAATCATGAAAATACCAAAATAAGCAAAATAAATTCATAATAAGCAAAATTTATATGATACGTGTTACACGTATACTTCCATAACGACACAAAGAGATAGGTTTAAAGTAAGTACTCTGCTTGCTTAATTCTGACAGGGTAGTACTGGTCTTCTTTCAGTACCCTGTCCATTTATCGAACTTTGGCAATCATATTGGCTATTATAACTTTGTTTACGGCGGTTCTAAATAAATTAGCGGTGAATTCTTGATACCATTCTCGGAGATTTCGGAGCCAGGATGTTCTTCTTCGGCCTGGGAGTCTCCTTTTGGCGATCTTACACTGTATTATGAGGTATAGAAGGTTATACCTCTCGGGATGTCTCATTACATGACCGTAATATTGCAACTTTCGAATTTTTATTGTTTTTTATTTCTCTGCTCTTTAAAAAAAACTATTTCATTTCTTATTCGATCGACCCAACTTATCCGCAATACTCGTCGATAAATCCACATCTCAAAGACCTCAAATTTTTTCATTAATGTCTCTGTAAAAGTCCAGCTCTCCATACCATACAGCAATGTGGAGAATATGTAGCAGCGTATTAATCTGATTTTAAGGTTTAACGTAATATCTATTAATTAGAAATCTAATCTTTCTAACTCTATTTCATACGCTCTGATCTTCGTTGGTTGTAACTCCGTTTTGCTGACAAACAGAAGTTTTGTCTTAGAAGTATAAAGTTTTAGCCCATATTCATCACATGCTTCAGTTACCCTGTCTTTAAGTCGTTGCAGTTCTTCTTCATTGGAGGCAATCAGTACCGTGTCGTCTGCATATCTGAGATTGTCGCCATTAATTCCGTTGATTTTAATGGCTGTATCTTCAACCACGGCTTCTTTGAAAATAAATTCGGAGTAAATATTAAAAGTATTCCTTAAGTACCTCCTTGCCTCACTATACGTCGTATTTCGGCTGCTTCCCTCATATTGTGTCCAATTCGTATGTTTGCACATTGATGTCAATACAAATTTTTGATAATACGGAGGTCTCGTTCATCAATTCCCACCTGTTGTAAGACACCTACAAGTTTGTCATGGTTTACTCGGTCAAAGGTCTTTTCGAAGTCGATAAAACCCCTATATACCGATTGTTCGATATCCCGATATCTTTGAACCATGACCTACAAACTGAAGAGTGCTTCTCTGGTTCCAAGGTTTTTTCTGAAACCAAATTGTGTGTTCACAGAGTTGTACTTCTATTTTGTTGTAAATTCTCGAGTGCAGTATTCTTAGAAAAATTTTCAGTACATGACTTATTAGACTGATAGTGCGATGATTGCTACACTGTTTGGCATTCATTTTATTTCGGCATCATTACAAATGTGGACAGTAGCCAGTCTGTTGGTATATGTCCTGTTTCGTATATTTTATTAACTAGGCTTAGAAGAGAATGTTTACCCTTATTGTCGAGTAGTTTGATTTTTTCGCTTGGAATTTTATCTGGACCGGTTGCTTTCCTATTCTTTAATAGCTTTATAGCTCTTTTCATTTCATCGAGTATTATGTTTGGACCAGTCGATATATTTTCGGTTTGAATTTCTGTTCTATCGTTATCAAACAGCTCCTCAATATAGTCTTTCCACGTCTCTAATTTGTCTTGTTCATAGAGTATAATATTTCCTTGTTTATAAAACTAAATACTTGCAGTTGATCTACATGTTCCATTTATTTATTTCACCTTTTTGTACATATTTAACGTGTCATTCTTTTTCTGAAGTTCTTTTATTTTAAGACATTTGTTGCTGTACCATTTTTCTTTTGCATCCCGAATTTTCCTTCTAATTTCTTTATGGATTTTATTGTATTCTTCAGTGTTTTTATTTTTTTGTTTTCGTCTGCTTTCCATTAGTCCCAATATTTTATCAGTCGTCCATTTTTGTTTGCGCTTATTAATAATTTTATACTTTTTAGTTATTTTTTGTATAATCGTTTTGACATGACTCCAGTGGTCTTCGACGTTATGTGTTTATTCCGATTTTTCGAACTCCTTTTCTATCTCGTATGTAATTTTATGACTATTATTTCGAATACAGTCAGTGTTTATTCGATTAATCGGTTGTTGGCGTTTCACTTTTTAAGTTTGAGTTTTATGTCACTGATTAATAAGTTATGATCTAAGGGGACATGGGCTCAAGGCAGTGCAGACAGGCGGTAATTGGTATATAATCGATCTGACTTCTTATAATCTTCTCTTTAGTATCTGAAGGTGACTTCCAAGTACATAAACGATGCTTGGGTGGTTTAAAGAATGTATTTGTCACACATAGATTGTTCTCTATACAGATTCTACAAAACGGTATCCTCTATTACGTTGTCCAAGTCCATAATCGTCTAGAATGTTTTCTTGCCTACCTTTTCCTACTTTGGCATTGAAGTCTCCCATTATTATTGTAATATCTTTGTTTTTCAGCTGACTCATTACCTCCTTTATATCACCATAAAAATTCTTTATATCATCTTTACTACTGCTTTCTGTGGGCGCATAAACTTGGACCAGATTTATATCTACTGGTTTTGAGTTTAATTGCATCACGATCACTCTGTCCGAAATGTAACTTACATATTTAATACAGCAAGAGACTTCTTTATGTACAACGTATGCGACGCCATTGTAATAGTGGAAGGGAAAATTACTGCTACAGTTATGTTTAAGGCTGTTTTAGCAGTCAAAACACACTGCGATTTGAAATGGGCGTATCACTTACTTTTCCTCACTGCTTACGCCAGCCGACGACGGGTACAGCTGTTTTCGCAGTGGCGGGTGGTTTAATGACAACAAATGCATTATTCTCCATTTAAATTACTTTTGTCGGAAATACCTTATTTGTTTGATTATCGTAGATGTTTTAAAAATAATTATCACATTTTTAATTTATATGTCTTAGCTAAATATAGTATTGAATATAAATTTGTGAAACGTGACTGCAAAAAACATCATGGTTTTTATTTATAATAAATTTAAAATAACATAAAAATATTATTATCAAAAAAAAAAAAAAAAAATACAATTTGTTGTCAGAAACAAATAAACAATTTCGCAGTTATAGCTTGAAATTGATTTCAAATCAAACTATCTGACCGTACGTTCATGAGATTTGACGTCACGCAGCCGATAACGGTGAAACTAAATGCCAATGATGAGTAACACGTTTCACTATTAGATTTAAGTATTTTTTAGCAATTTTCTTCAAAGTTTGAACACGCTTTTCTCGATTATTACTGGACATAAAAAGGTGAAAAAAAACCAATGATTACAGAAAAAAATACTCTTTCAAGTGATGGGCGTAAAAAGTTTATAATAGAACGTTAAACTGTATAATCTGATATTTCAAAAGAACTTCCAGTAAAACCATCAGTTTAAAGGCAACAACATTTTGAATAACGTGTCCAAATTTCGAGATATTTTGTCGGTAAATAACAGAAAAAACACTGTATCTAGGTTTGGTGTACCGATAAAACAGCCTTAAAAAAAATCAGCTTGAAGTTGGGCACCTCATGCATAACAAGTAAGCAAAAAAAATCGCAAAAAAGACACTGATTCACATTACATGTTTTCTGGGAGAGCATGAACATAGTTTTCGAGGACGTAATAAAAAGTTCTGAATTTGTTAATGAGGGAAATTTTTTGGATTTAGCAAATTTTTATTTGAATATGATGAACTATTAAAAAATCATTTAGATCAATCGCGGCGTTTGTTATACACCGCACACAAACAACGCATATATATAGATATATATATATATATATATATTATATATATATATATATATATATAATATATATATATATATATCTATATAATATATATATATATATATATATATATATATATATATATAGAGTTTGTATAACGACGCTAAGAATACAATTCTTTGGAGGATAACTTTCGGGAAAGCGTCAAAACAAGGATCAGCTAGAGATGGTATAAGCCAGTTTGGTGTAGAACTTTATTCTAAATGTGAAATTTTCGGTGATATGTTGTCACCTTCATCAGCACCTAAATGGAAAACCTATTTTAGTACAAGTGGTGGAAATTAACATATAAAACCTACATTGAAAATGTTCAGTTGGTCCTAGAGGTGAAGAACACTGTCACAAACATGTTAAAAATATTAAAAAATACATTTAAAATTTTGAATAAAAACATTACAACACAACAGGGTATTATTTAAAATACAAACACAACAAAAATCTAAAAATTACAACCTATACAAAAACTGCAACTTCATGTTAAAGGTAGAAAAGAAGAATTATTCCTCTTTTTTGATGACATATTTCTGACTTCTGTCAATATCATATGTCACCCGGATATTCCATTGGTCTAGATGAAACTACAGATATCGTCAATTTGAGTGAATTGTTGGTTGTTCTGTGTAACATCAAAAATACTGAGGAAATACAAGAACGATTTTGGGGATTTTTTATAAAGTTATGATGAAGTTGCTGTAATGTCTGAGCACTTGAGAGGACTTTAAACCAAAGTTAAGGAGAAGTTTCAAAAACGCAAGTTTTGTGCACTGCTTTGCACACAGGCCAAATGTATTCCAGGCCAGATTCATTTAGACGTACTTGTTTCAACAAGAAAAAACAATGAAAAAAATAAATTTTATTTATTATCATACAAAAGAACCATTCTTTACAATTACTTCTTAAAGATAATTTCTCCTAAATATTGGCCATAAATACGATTAAGTTGTTTCATTCTGAAGTTCCAATCCCCGATGACTCGATCCAGCATTGGTATTTTCACCAATAACTCGAGTAATATTGGCCTCCAATGCCTCAATCGTATCTGGTTTATTCATGTAGACTTTGGAATTTAGGTAGCCCCAAAAGAAAGAGTATAGAGGTGAGATGTCACAGGATCTAGGCGTTTAATTCACTGGTCCAAAGCGTAAAATAATTTGTTCACCGAATTGTTCTCGCAGTAAAGCCAAGCTTTTACCAAATGTCGCCGAGATCAGGAGCTGCAATTTTAGGTACCAAATAGTCCGTTATCATGGCACGATAACGGTCTCCATTCACAGTAACATTCTGGTCGGCCTCTGTTTTAAAGAAATATGGACCAATGATTCCACCAGCCCATAAACCACACCAAACAATTGTTTTTTCAGGATGTAATGGCAACTCTTGAACCTCTTTGGGTTGTTCATCCCCCCAATATGGGCATTTTGTTTATTAACCGTTTGTGACGACCTGGAACGTCGGTCGGCTTCAGCTCTTGCACTAATTGAATTTTGTATGTTTTTAAACCAATATCCTTACGTAAAATACGCCAAGTTGTTGCATATGAAAAGCCAAGCTGTTGAGAACGGCGACGAATCGATTCTTCATTATTTTCGAGTACAATATCCGTTACCTCCGCTATATTTTCTTCACTACTTGCTGAATGTGGTCTATTTGGTCGCTTGTTATTAAATAATAAAAACTGGGTTTTAAACTCACTAATCGTAAAGCGAATTATACGTTCGGTAGGCCGATTATGTGGACCACGAATTGCTCTAAGCGCACGAAGCACATTCGTCACAGAACTCCCATTTTTAAAATATAACTTAATCATTTCTAGACGCTGTGCAGAGCTAAGTCTTTCCTTCATGAAATGTCAAACAATACTGAACAAAAGCGAAATGTCAGTTTGATAGTATTCATGCATCCAATGTATTCCTCACTAAAAGAGTACCTCTCAAACAATCAACCTATAGTTGTAATGCAATAGGTCGCACTCAATAAGACTTGCAAAGACAAAGACACTTTTTTCTAAATCATCCAAAAGGACACATGCTTTAGATGTTATTTTTCAGAAAAGGTTTCTTCAAGCAGCTAACACGAGATGGAACTACAATGGGAGGTTCGTAAAAACATTTTCCCAATATTGACAATCTCAAATAGAGTTATTTGAAAGTATTTTGGAGCATAAGGATTAAAGACTCTGAAACTGCGAATCAAGAGGTTATTTGGAATTACTTAAACGAGATTTTGATTTTAATTTTTTGCTTTAAGTATTTTCTGAAATATTTCCTTATACAGACATTTTATTTGATGTATTGCATACTAAATTAAATGCTATTGTATTTTGTATTAAAAAAATAATTTGAATTCGAAGTCCATATTAACAGACAGACGAACTATCACATGCTTACCTACATCTGTCCAATTTACCACTAAAATCTAATAGATAACATAAAAACTCATTGTGCCCAAGACTGAGATATAGTGCATAAAAGTCCTTCCCGCTTTTTAAATTTAATGTTTATTTCGTCCCTTCTAAGTGGTTTCTGTTTTAGTGTGTTTAAATTGTCATTAATTGTTTTAATTTTAATATTTTATATACTCGACTTTGCAATAATCTACTATTTTGCCAATAGAACTTTATCAAAGAAATTGATAATTACAATTTTGTGTGGGTGTGGAATTTGAAAAAATTGCACACCCACACAATTTGTACATCTAAGCTTATTCATTGTCATAAAACTGTCACCTTCATAAAACAAATACTCAATAAATAACACACATTTCATAAATATATCTCTCGAATAAATATAAATAACTTTTAAATAATACAATGGTATATAACATCACTTTCATTTAACAAACAATCACACACATATCTCTACTTCATTGGATCAAATCTATCTCCTCAAGAACTTCCCGTTTACTGTCAAACAACTACAATAGCAGAATTAAGTTCTCCATTCAACAATACATAATAGTTTCAACCATGTTCTACCTACATCAATTAATAGTGTACCGGCATGTAAGTAATGTTTATTTATTTGCTCATTTATTAATTTATTACAATCTAATAGACTATTTCATAAAAATTTGTGGGTCTTACCTTGTCCGTTTAAACTTTTAAAACTTTTTATACCTTTTTATTCATTTTACTCATTTTGAAAAAACCACAGACATGTAATATTGGCATAATATTGTAATTTATAACATCTAATTTGTTTATCTTTATTAGACAACACCCTAATATGGGTTTTTTATCATTTCAGCATTTATTTAACTTTGTATCGAGACCTGAAGATGCTTTGCATATTGTAGAAAGCGAAACCGGTCGTCTGATAGTTAAATTAAATTGATTGTGAGTAAGTCTTATTTATTGTTTCTTTACCTATTTGAAATGGACTCACACAAGCAACACATTCATGAACAGATAGAACAATTTGATATCATCTGGCAAAAAACATACACACACATGTAGGTGACACAAGATGTCTTATCATCGACTTTTTTGTGAAATCATAGATAACATTTCCCAGCAGCTTAAAGGAAGATTTAAAAACCTTTTTGAGTTAAGATCTGAGGAGTCATGCAATTTAAATAAATTGCATAAAACTCTAGTTTCTTGGAAGGAGCTTTTAACTGTCTAAAAAAGCATTATGCAAACGTTTTTGACATTCTTTTCCTGCATTCCCAACTGTGCATTTTGTATGCTTCTTAACACTTTGTAAAAACTGATACTAGTTCTAAATGCTGACATTTCTTTAACAAACTGAATTGTGTGACTACTAAAATTATGTGACTTGATGATGATAATATCTGCTAGAAGTTCGTCTGTGGAACGAAGTTTTTCTGTACTGAAGCGGATTAAACTACCTTGTATTAATCTAAAGTCAATTGAAAAAGAACTTATTAAAAAAATGTCTGAGAATCCTAGTTTTTCTAAGTCTGTTTTAAACGAGTTTGTCAAGGATGACAAAAGAATGGAGCTGCAGTATAAGTAAAAAGTTTAGTATGTCTTTTTATATTTCATTTAATTTGCATCCCTTTCTTTAAATGTCACGGCAGGCCACTGCTACACAGTGTAAGTTTTAATCAATGCTATTAGCAATACAGTCAATACAAATGTAATTTATACATTTTTTATTAATATAAAAATATTTGTAATGAAAGTGTTAAAGAATGAAGTATATTACCGGTGAGGACATGTCTATCTGAAACCAATGTTGCGGAGCATTTGTAGTCGTACTTGGATCCCCTCTTCCAGAAGAAAGCGACGAGCCAAGGGTATTGTCCAATCTCAGTGTTAGTGGCACCTAATATAAAGGGTACTAACTCGTTTTTCTTTTGTTCGTTACTAGCCACCCCGCATACGAAATCGCTATTGAACGATGGTGATGTAAATGTTGCCGGTGGAGATGGGCTGGTAAATGGTGCTGTGGTAAAGATTGAGTCGATAAGTCTGAAAAAGTACAGAATTGGTTAACTTGCTGTTAGATTTTATGCTCTTTTTTCACATAAATAGTTGCTTGTTCAGTTGGTTGTGTTAAATACATTTATATTATCTTTATATTTAATTAATACATTTATGTTTATAACATTTTATTCTTGTTGGATAGGCCACAATTGACGAAGTAAATCTAAAACCCTAATCACATAAAAACTTTTATTAACCATCAACTTCCGAGTTTTTATCGAAGTTAATTAATTTCTTCAGTTAAAAAAACGTTTCTTGGTTTATTTCAGATGCCCCTGAAGATGCTCTAGGAAGCGAAAGTACTTGGGCAAGATTAAATTAATTAAACTGTGCTCGATATCTGCCTTTTATTTGATCAAAGTTCATTTATTAAACTAAGTTAAGATTAACTACATAAGATTTCTGCACGTTGGAAGTGGCTTCATTCGTATAAATGCTTTCCTAGCAATCTCTATTCGCCCATTTATTTCTGCTGTATGATGACTTCTGCTAGTGTAAGATGTTTAAAATTTGTTTTTTATTAATTTTTTTTCAGTTTCTTATCTTTAGTGTAAATTTTTTCAAGTTTATTTATTTTTATTTGTTTTTTTTTACCAAAACAAGAACAACCATCAACATCACGGATTGAACCGTGTTAAGATTCGATGTTGAAATAGAGCAAATATAGTATGAGTAAGCACTTTGTAAAGTTACTAAATAAAGAACACCAGAGGAGAGACCTCAGATCAGAGAGGATACAGGGACCCCAAATAAACATGTAATACCGGGGATAACAAGACATGAGGTTTTTGAGGCCTTAAATTGGATGAAGAAATGTAAGGCAGTAGAACTTGATGGAATATTTGAAGAGGTTTGGAAGGCTCGAGGAGAGGAAGAGATTGATGTGTTGTGGCAAATGATGAGCAGGATATATGAGAAGGAACAGATGCCCAATATATGGAGGAAGAGCATTATGGTACCATGGTATACAGATAAAGGTGATATTTAGAACTGTAAGAATTATAGAGGGATGAAGTTAATATGATATACAATTAAAATTTGGAAGAGAACTGTAGAACTATAGTTAAGGAGAAATACATCGAGAGGAGAAAAACTTGGGTTTATGTCAGGAAAGACGACAACGGATGGATTAAAAGGTGTACAACACAGTTCATAGAGAAGAGCTATGGAGACAAATGAGTTTCTAAGAAGTAAGTAATGCCCGTGAAGTATATGTATGAGTGCGCGTACGCTAAAGTAAGGACTTGTGTTAGATTGACCGAAAGTTTAGTGCCGTTTGTTTTGCATCGAGGCTTGTCACTGAGTAGTCCCTACCTGCTTAACATTGTTATGTACGTACTGACAGAGAAACTGAGAAGGGGTTTCTTGGCCAATGTTCTTTGCGGATAATATTTTGTTAGTGGAGGAGAGCACATCAATCTTGAAGGAAAAGTTGGGAGTTAGAGAAGACCTATCAAAGAAGGGCGACTTAAGATTAACAGGTCGAAAACGCAGTATATGTGGTTGTGAGGAGAAGTAGATAAATGTTTGTTAGTAATACATTAGATTGAATATAAAAGGCATTCTTCGATAAAAAAGAAATACAAAAAGAGGAAAACATTTATGGCAAAAAATTTTACCGATAGACTCCAACGGAACTCTTTAGTTATGCATTTTAAAATTTAAAATAGTTAAAATATTTTTAAATATCAGTTGGAATGGTAGAAATTTTGCTTGGTAGGAAATGTAAATACTCATCTTAAAAGTATCTTTTTGCGAAGCTTAACAACACTATTTAAATTTGTAGTTTCCAAATTTATGATAGAATAATTGCCAAAATTTCTAATGAAAATAATAAAAAGTTCAACAGATTAAAAGGTACTGCTCTAGGTATACATAAATACTTATTACTTATTTAAAAAACGAGAACAAACAACTACTTATGGTTTACTTATTTTAATAATTACACTACTATTTCCAAACTTAATTTAGCATTTACACATATGAACCAATAAGTTTTATAATATAGGTAACAAAAAAAAAGGTTGGTATAAGTATGCAGTGGCCATTTTATAATTCAAAGGAATCTTAACTGAATCAGACATTAAAAAGAGAAAGTCGTCTTTGGCTAGATATATTCCTTTATAATGTAATTCTGCTGATTGCTGAATTAAATAAAAGCTTTACCCTAGAAGTTATTGGTGTAACCTTGTACGTAAAATAAACAAAATCTTTTTTTCTCACAAACTAGAACAAAATAATGCTGCAATGATTATTTTTTGTTAAACTATACGTTCAAAACAGACAGGAAAATTTCAAAGACAGTATCTGATTAATTTTCATTCGTTTCTTTTGAATTTCCTTGTAGACTGATGTTTTTGATTCCCATTGGTACATCTACAAATTTTCAGAATTATCTATAAAACCGAAAATTATACGACCTGTTTTCCTTTTTGCTTCTTCTTCTGGTTCCTATCAGTTTCAGATGTTGGAAATCATATTGGCAATCATAAACTTGCTCGCTGCGGCTCGAAGCAGCTCCGTTGAGGTTTTCTTAAACCATGTTCTTAAATTCCGCAGCCATGATATTCTCCTTCTACCGGGTCCACGCTTACCTTTGACTTTACCTTGTAAAATAGACTGCAGCAGGGAGTAACGGTGCTGATTTCTCATAGCGTGTCCCAGATATTGCAATTTTATGCGTTTGATCGTAAACACAATCTCTGGTTCCTTCTTCATTTTTCCTAGAACTTCCTTTGTTCGTGATCCTTGCTGTCCATGATATTCTTAGCATTCTTTTATAAAGCCACATCTTAAATGATTCAAGTTTATCTTGAAATGATTCAAATGATTTCAAGTCCTGTACAACAACAAAGAGAAAACATAGCATCTCAAATATCTCATTTTTGTATCTAGGCCAGGATATGTTGTGACTTTTGAAGGTGGCGCTCATTTTGTTAAAGACCGTTCTTGCCTTTTCTATGCGGCACTTTATTTCCTGTAAATTGCTCCACTGTTCGTTTATAATAGTTTCCCAGGTAGCAATACTGTTTTACTAGCTCTATCTGCGTCCCATTAATGTATAGATGAGCCCCGTTTATATTCTCCTTGCTGATAATCATTTGTTTCGTTTTGTGGGTATTAATGTTTAGTCCGTACTGTTGACTGTACTCGTTTATTCTGTCCATTAGCCTCTGAAGTCCCTCTAAACTATCTGCTATCCCCATGGTGTCGTCGGCATATCTAACATTGTTTACGCTTTCACCATTTAGAAGGATGCCTTCGTCTATTCCGTAAAGAGCCTCGTTAAAAAGTTTCTCTGAGTAGATATTAAATATCAACGGCGATAGGATACATCCCTGTCTAACTCCACGTAGTATTTTTATGTGATCTGTTTCTTCTCCTTTAATTTTCATGTATGCGGTCTGATTCCAGTAGAGTTCTGAAATTATTCTGAGGTCTTTGTCATACAGGTCTGCTTCTTTTAAAATGTTTATCATCTTTTGATGTTGAACTCTGTCAAATTCCTTTTGATAGTCGATCAAGCACGCGTATACGTCGCAGTTAACGTCCCTGCATCTTTGAATCAGTACCTGTACTCCGAAACATAATATTAACTATAATTTTTGCTTACATAATATTAACTATTTTTATTTACATTAAATGCGCTGTATACGAGTACACAGCATTACCTAAATGATCTACTGTGAGAAAAGATATCTGGAAAGCAAATCATTTAGTCAATGACTTATTAGCTGTTTCTGATGTCTGCGTTTCTACTAAAACTTATTATTTAAAATACTTATATGTTTATTTTAGAGAATCTAGCATCCAGATAACTACTTAATTATGTAAATAATTAATAGCTTTCTCTATGGCTTTTTATCACTTCAATTACGTTTGGAAAAAGTTTATATGAAAGATTTGTTTAAAAGTATATCTACCCACAAATACTATAAACAGAAGTATGGTTATGTTAATTGACAATATTAAAAATAAAAAGTTAAAAGTTTACCAATAAGTTTTTAAACATTAATTTTTACACACATCTTTATTAATTAAAAAATTTAACAGAATAATAAATTCGAAAGGAAATTCGTCACGTGATTTAAATAAAGATTTGTTTAAAAATTAAATGTGTGAGGTTAGAATGCAAATGTTTACTTAAAATTATTAACAGTTATCACAACAATAACAAAAAAAAAGGTTTTGCTCCAAATGTTCTAATATTTATACAGTAATTTTCCAAATAGTTTTCATTTCATTTTCATTTCGATAGTGGAGACAATGATTGATTATTCGTTATTATTAAATCAGTTTATTGTTACCTCTTGATTGTTACTTGATTAAATCCAAAAGTCATAAGTAAATCAGTAAGTTTTTAATTTATGCACATTGCTTAATTGTTAGACATCAATACTATACATCCGCTTACTCATTTAAATAAAACCACAGACATGTAATATTGGCATAATTATTGTAATTTACATCTACTTTGTTTATCGTTATTAGAAGACAACACCCTAATATGGGTTTTTATTATTATAATTACTTACCTTACTTCATTTTCATTTAAAAAAATTATCAAATTTGCTATACGTTTATACTACCTTAGTTGAATGCATTTCTACTTTTCCAAAACACCCACATAACGTATACACCCGACCTCTACTTTGTACCTCACATAATTTTAACATACATACCTCTGATTATAAAGCATGTGCATAAAAAAAGAGAGTTTTACGAGTTTTATAGTAAAATATTTGGATATACTTCTGATCAACATCCGGATCACTCTCAGTAGGGTTAGGAACGGTAGGTCGTTTGATTGGTATTTCGGTGTCCCGAGTAGGTGTCACCCATACGTCAGGCTGTCGTTGTGGAATCTTAGGCGTTATTGGCGTGACTTTAGGTGGAGTTGGTGTTGGTAGTGGTTGATGTACCGTTGGTTTTTCATTTGGCCTTTTAATAGGAATATCGTCATCTGAAGTATCTGGTTGAGTTTCTGGTTTGTAGAATCCATATTTTTGTCGTGAAAATTTGAAGCTGATTTGGGACCAAATATTAGTTATTCCGGGTGCTCCTGGTATTACTAAAAATAAAGAATATATTATTATTTAATAGATTAGTAAAACCTAAGTTTTTAAAGAGAATGAAGATATAGTTTGATTAAAATAATGATATACGAAGAGATTCTTTTATCATTAAGTGTAAAGTTAATATAAGTTTTTAATATTAAAGCACAGATTAGCTTGTCTAAAAGGATTGGCATTATCAGAATTTATATAAATTCAAGGATTTTTAGGACATAGTTTGAGTACATAGAAACTTCTTCTTTACGTGTCTTGTCCTCCAAAAATATTGGCAACTAATCGCATGATCTTCGCTTTATCTGCAGCTGACCTAATTACTGTCGTGGATCTGGTTACAGACCATTGACGGATGTTCTTGAGACAATCTCCTTCGTTGTCTAATAATACGCTTCTCTTCCTTGTTTGATTGAATAATTAAATGTAGTAATTATTCAATTATTCATAATTACATGCAGTAATTAATTCATAGAAAATAGAGAATAATTCATTCTCTCTCCTGTTGCCGGCAAGAATGTAGAGCGTAAAATAATTATTAATTTTAAACTGTTTTGTCCTTGTTTTAATGTAGTGCTATGTACAATTTATGTCCAATTTATGCCCCTGATAATGCTGTAGATAGCGAAAGTACTTGGGCAAGATTTGATTAATAAATTTGTGCTAGATATTTGCCTTAATTTTTCAAAGTTCATATATTTTGTACCAATAATTTACGTAAAACGGAACAATGTCCAATGATATTCGTTCAGATTGTAATCAAATATTCATTTGATTTTTATTTTTTTTTGTTTAAATTTTAAAGTTGTGATACAAGTAGTTTTTGTAATAAGTTTAGAATTTAATTTATATATAAATATATATATATATATAATATATATATATATATATATATATAATATATAATATATATGTTTTATATATAAAGTATAAAGATTTTTATGACAATATGTGTCATTATATTATTGTATTAATATGTTTTTATTAATAAAAAATTTTGAGTATGAATAAGCAATGTTTATTGTTTACTTTTTTTTTAAATTCATGTTTTAAATTTTAATAAAGATTATTTTGTGTGATGTATTATTTTATTTTTGAGTAATGACGATATAAATTATTTGAATTTTGTTGCAGAACATATTATAATAATTCTAATAATAAAATAAATTATTATTATTTAAAGCATTTGATTGAATATGTAGCCTTTCTTACAGCTTATGTTTAGATAATTATTATAATTTAAGGTATTTTATTGAATATGCACCCAGTTGTTACAGCTTATATTTAGATATGTAACTTTTATACTTTTTTGTCGATAATTTCCTGATATGTTTTCTGACATGTGTTTTTTTTTTGTTTTTCTAATGTTTTTGAGACAAATTTAATAACTTCATATATCAGTTTTTTTCGGAAATGAAGTTACGCCCTCCAAAAGGATTGAAGGACTAATTAACTACGTTCCTTGCGTTAGAAAAATTTCATTAAAACCAAAGTAGTCCAAGATATAAGCGACAAAAATATAGGCGATTCCGCATAAACCCCATATGTTAAGTGCAATTTCCTGCAAAAACTACAGTCGTTAATCACTATTGGTGTTTTTGCAGGAAACTTCATCGCTTGGCTGTCAGTAGGTTTTTATTGGTTAACGGTTTTTCCAATAGTTGTGTTATGTGATTTTATAAGTAAACACCATAAACCAACTTAGTAAAATGAGTTTTATAATAAATACAAGTAACAATGAACTCGAACGATAAAGTTCAAGTGAAAATGTGTCATTAAAAAAGAAAAGGAAGGAGTTAAGACGTACAGAGATAAAACAGGCAAGAGTGAAGGGACAAAAACATGTTAATTATAAGGGCATAGAAAAAGTACAAGTACAAATGGCTCCCAATTTCAGGTACGTCACACATATTAAGTGTAAAATGATGAGTGAAACATTTCTATTCCTTTTAGGTGTTCACGGTTTCAATATTATTCTAAAATTATTAATGAAGAAAAATCTCGAGTTTTTGATCACTTTCATGCTTTGGAAACTAAAAACGAGCAGGATATTTTTTTGGTAAAATTATTCGCTTTATTTAAACAAATAAAATAATAACAACTGTATTTCATTGTAGGGCTAATATGTTATCACATTCCAAAGCAAAGAAGAAGCCGAAAAAAACGCTGAAATTAGGGAAGTTTTGCTAACAGAAGTAGAAAATGATGCGCCAAGCCAAGGTAATGTTCCTCAAACGTTCAAAGATCAACATTCTGCTGCCTATAATTATAAAATAAGGTTAAAAAAAGAGAAGAATCCGTATGTGTAAAGCTTTTTGCAGTCTTCATGCTTCTTCATTCACACATAAAATAAAGGTTCAAAAGGTTCGAAGGCTACAAAAACATGTCTTTAATGGTGGATCAGCACCAAAGGATAAACGAGACAAGCATTCAAATCGACCATATAAAACGGCAGAAAATACATTGGCTTTGATTAAGAGTCATATCAAATCTTTTAAAAACCGACAGTCTCATTAGACTGAGACGCTATCTGAAAAAGATGTATAAAATATTCATAGCAGAACATCCCGTGTAAAGTCTTCTTAATAAATATATTGGAAAGTATTCCATACCGACTTTAACCCTAAATTTGGCTTACCGAGAAGTGATACATGTGGTACTTGCGATCGGTATCAAAGTAAACTATTAGCTAGTTGTTACGATCAGACGAGAAATTAAACTCCACTTACGGAAAGCTAAGAAGTTTTATGAACTAAAGAGAAAATATAAATTAAAAGAACTTAATGATTCAGAGAACTACAGTTGCTCGTCTTTTGACTCTATGCAAAACCTTCCAATGCCACATATACATACCAATGTAGTATTTAATGCTAGGCAGATATGGTTATACGCATTTGGTGTGCATAATGATGTAAATAATACTGCAACTATCTCTTCTCTTACGATGAAACCATTGAAGAAAGGACAAAATGAAGTAGCTTCATTATTGTTTCAATATTTACGATCTAATGAGGTAACGACAAAGAATCTTGTCAATAAGCGACGGATGTGCCGGACAAAATAAAAACTATGTTCTGATGAAATTTTTGTACTTGCTTGTTCATGGTTTACACATGTTTGAAATTATCACACATGTATTTCCTATTCGAGGCCATTCATTTTTAAGTTGCGACCAAGATTTTCATTGATTGAAAAGAATAAAAAATCTGCAATCGTCGAAATGCCTAAAGAATGGGAAAACGTAATCAAAAATGCTAGGAGCAAACCATCACCGTTTACCGTAACTGATGTATCAGTCTATGATATTTAACATTTCAGAAGCGGTAACTCCATTTTTTCTTAGACCAGCTTGTCCTCCAGTGAAAATCAAAACTCCGCGAATGTTGAGATATTCAGTTGATGGACCTGGGGTTGTTTTAGAAAGACAGACTTATGCAGTTAGCTGGAAAAAATTCCTTATAAGAAACAAATATACGTGTACTTATATAGTACACGTTTGGATATTCCTCAGGGAAAATAGAAAACCTTAGATATTTAACCCAATATTTGAAAAAAAAAACAGAGGTTCAAAACGTTTATAACGAACTGCTCACAGAATCTAGTCATCGGTCTGAAAAAATTACCGATTTAGACGAAGATGATAACAGCAGTGGTGTAAGTAATAAAGACTAAACATTTTGTTTCAAATTTCAACAATTTCATATTTTAATTTTTTCACATTTCAAATAAAAGTTTTCGTTAATTTTTTATTTTGGTTTATTACTATATATCGTTGTCCCTATAAATAATTGAAAATTTCGTGGAATAACCTCATATGTCAAATCAATAAATTTCCTTCATAAAAAACCAAAAAAAAAAAAAATGTTATTTATATTGTAAACTGTGTGTAAATATCAAAAGAATAAATCACTAATTTGAGAATTTCCGTAAACTTAATACGGTTCAATTAAACTTTTTTTTTATTGAGTTTTGCCTCGACAACTAATGGTCATTGGCATGGTACAGTCAGGTACCTAGTGTAGTGTGTGTGTGTGTGTGTGTGTAGAGTAATTGTCTTGATACTTAGCAAAGTCGACGTCATTGTCTTTGCTTAGAGATGCTAATAGTATCCGAACGTCTGCGGTCCCTCCGGTGAGTACCGATCGCACAAGGATAGAAATTATTTTCATTCATTAATTTTTTATTAAACGAAAATATCTCCACCCAGGTGAGATTCGAACTCACGACCTTTAGTTTTTAAAGGTAGGCGCTCTTACCACTGAGCCACAGAGGGGTTTAACTTTTTTTGAAATATCTTCAATGTTGTAAATAATGACACATGGGGTTTTATGAGTTTCAGGTTAAAATTTATTGGCGCCCATTTTATTTTACAGTTTAGCTGTATTTAGTGCCTTTCTTTGTCAAACTGTTTGGATCTACAATATTTTACCATCCATATCCTTACAACCCCTCCTGACTTGGCAACGTGTAGTGTTCGTTAAGTATTGTGCTATAAAAGCTTTTTATTACCAACTTTTGTTAGCTTTTTCGCTATAATACCCAAAAAAATTGGGTAGCGGGTGGATCCTCATTAACGTTACAGGTAGATAGATCTAGTTCAGTGATGGAAGCGGTCATGCTTATTTTAGGTAGCAGCACTGAACATGGAATATTTATTCCGAAATCGTTCTGTGATTTAGCCGAAAAAGGTTCTTTTAAATAAATATATCTCTTATAAATGACTTGTTTACTACAATTTTTTGTGATATATACATATGGTATACAATCGACTATAGAAAATCAACTTTTCCTTGTAAATATTATTGTAGTTTATTTCCGTAAATAAATCGGTTGACTTTTAAAATTAAGGGAAAAAACTTGAATAATATTGATTACAATAATATGTAATTATTAACTGATATGTTTTAAAACCACATTTCATGTTTAAATACCTAAATGAGTATTTAATGGATGTTATTTTGATAGCTAATCAATATTTTTGGTTAATAATTACGGTCTGATTCTATAAACTGTTTTATATTTAAGCCACGTTTACGCGATGACAATTTTCAGAAGACAACTGACTGCATGAAATTATTGTCTTCGTCTAAACACTTCAGGCCAATTGCTTTGCCAACTGCCCTCACAATTGGCCCAAAATTCAGTTGTCTTCGTGAGTAGACTGAGGACAATGAGCTGCGCCCAGTGAGCCCCCTCACTACTCGAAATCTCAATTGTTGCGACCATTGGCGCATGTGAACGGTGTAGGCCAGTAGTGCTGTCTTGTTTTTTGAAAGTTCCCCTTAAGTTCTCTTGTGTCAGTCAAAACATAAACGTGGTTTGTGTTATTTGTATTACGTCTGGTTATTCTTTGATGGGTAAACTGAAATCTGGATCTGGATCAGCGGATGTGTACGTGCCGACCCTTAAGTGGTTTAACGTAATGAAGGAACTGATGGTGAATGGAACACTGACAAGGCAGACCAAAGAAACTTTGGTACGTAGATGTAGCAAGGAATGAAAGCGCCACTTAAAATTTTAGCTTGGGTGACAATGCTTTTCTCATTAAGGTATCCTCTTTTAATATTTTACTTTTACCCATTTGTAAAACTCTCTGAACTCATCCTAAAACATGCTTTAGATTCGATTGGATCTTCCATCCGCAGTTCCCTTATCAATTGAGATGACGCACCGTGACTGTTTCTTCTTAAAAATCATTCTTGTCCACTCCCTCTTCTTATTTAACACCTCTTCTAGCACATTGCAAGACTCACTAATAAATTCCCTGTAAAGCTGATTTAACATTAGTTTTAAGTCCTCACCGGACATAACAGATGACGAGCAGTCGGCCATGTTTTAGCTGTCTACTGAGATGGCAATAGTTGGCCCCGTATAAACATCTTCTCGTTCAACTGGACTGGCCTCCGACAATCCGCAACCATGTGATGACAATTGTCCAATGACAATTGTCTCGCCGATTGCCATCGTGTAAACGCGGCTTTAAAACAAAATACAATATTTCAAATGGTTATATTGTGTTGCACATTTTTCTGCTTCTTTGTTTTTTTTAGCAATATAAAACAACACCAACTGATGACTTAATGATGACAAATCCTAACATCAGAAATAAAATATGTAGAAAACATAAAAAACTCTCGAAGTTAGACGATCAGGTCCCAACAAATTTAGAGGTGAAATGGGTTAAAGAGAAACATTGTTGGCAATGAAAATACTATTATAAAAATGCAGGAAATACAATAAAAGTATGATTGCATCTTTTGTGGATTTCCAAAGACCATTTAACCAATTTCAATACGGTAAACTTATATACTAAGAAACATAATGTACACCTCGATGTGGGAGTAAGTCGCAAAAGCCTTCCAGGTCCAATTTCTTTGGAGAATCAATCCTTTTTGTTTATGATATCTTCTTAACAACCCCTCTTTATTTCATTCTGCCTCTAGTTTTCTTCTTATTGTGCCGTCTCTTTTTGAAGGTTGGCGATCCAAATGACAACTGTAGCTTTGGAAACCCCTGCACCAAAGGTGGGCGGCCAAACCATATCCTTAAATCTTTCAGAGATGAGTTCTGGAGTCTTTCTACTTATCATTTCCTTTGTACTTTACCTTTCAATATGGTTTGGAGTAATTTATATCTTTTATCTCTCAATACTTGACCCACATATTTTATTTCTATCTTGTTACGTCACTGTTGGTAAATTCTTAGTATCCATATATATATATATATATATATATATATATATATATATATTATATATATATATATATATATATATACATGCATCTTAAAGGCATCTACTCTTTTTCTGTTTGAGAGACCATTGCCCAACTTTCACAGCCATACAGCAAAACGGAGAAAACGTGACATCTGATCATTTGGATTCTGAGCTCTAGACTAGGGTCTGATCTGTAAAAAATGTTATATTGGTAAAGATAGGGAAGCGGTTAAAGAAGTGATTGCCAACAATTGTTACGCGAATAAAAGCCTTAACTTGGTCATGATGGTGGATTAAATAAAAATATTCTATTGCACATTGTATATGTACAGAACAAAATATGATGTAGTTTTAAAACACTTACCTGGTTCAGCAGGACCACTACAGTACAATCTATCGTTATATGTGATTCCAGTAATTTTAGGAATAACGTTCGTAAATGGGAAAAATATGTTGTATATAACGGTCGACGTACCATCGTTAAGTTCATTTAGTTCAGTTACTCTTTCCAGTCTAAGTTTCTACAAAAGTTGAATAAATAAGAATAAATAGGACTTTAATATATTTATATTATAAAAGCAGATGCAGTTCCAAAATTTTAAACTCAAAAGTACGAACATACAAACAAACATACATATAAGACTATAGGGACAATATATCTAGATTGTGATATCGGGACTTTGATCGTGATTGTCCATGCTTCTCTGACTTGAGCTACTATAGTTTGGCCGCTGAAAAGATGGAATGATCACGTGAATGACACGCACTCTTAAACATTCCTCTCCCTATGTTATCACTTCTACCACGTTTGCATAGCTCAAAAAAAAGAACTAACACTTTCGCTATAATATATTTATACCGTTTTTGACAGGATATTGATTTACATTAAATTTAAACATTTTATTGGCTTTTGCGTGTCAATTTTTATAAGGTGGACAAATTAAAAAGTTTATATAAATATGTCAAAAGTAAATTTTAAATAAAATTAAAAGATAAATTCGGTTTATAAATTTGATGGAATGCGATTCGTTTGAATATAATAGAATATCTGTATTCGCACGAATCGGTCGACAAAGAAATATATGATTTAAATGATGAAAAACACGTTTTTATATGTGTGTGTAATATAAATAAAATAATATTAAGAATATTACAATAATTTTAATAAAAAATAATCTTACCTATTTTAATATTTTTCATTACTGATACGCTTCTAAAGAAGCGTATCAGCAGAGGAGAATTTATTTTTTATTTGGCGTATGGTATATTAAGAACACAAAATTAAAAGCAATAATTTAATAGAAAATGAAATGGTGTATTACAAATCTGATATATCAATATAATCTAAGACATTTTCGGTCTTATTCAGGAATGTCATCTTCTTAATTTTTCTTGATGTTCTGTCAATATATTACCCTCCTTATATCTTTACTTCTTCTGTTTAAATTCTTCTTTGCTTTTGTTGAGTTTCTGGTAAAATTTTCTTGCCTCTACTGGCTTACTTAGATCTTGTAGCTCTTGAAGTTGTTTGTTCATAGTTTCTCTCTTCTTTTTTTTGTGCGGTGGATTTTATTTTCTTCCTTGCGTATTTATTTATATTTCTCCTCCGATTGTCACGTTCTGTACCCCTGTTGCATCACTAAATATGCTCTGTTTTCTCTCTATTATTATCTGATATTCTTCGTCAAAACACCCATTCGGTATTGTTATTCTTTGTTTACCTTTCATGCTTAGTAATTCTTCAGCTGCTTCTATCTTATTTTCGATCCAGTAATGATCAGAACCCGATTTGCTTTTCTTCTAGTGAGAACGTTTACTATATTGCATTGTTGTCTTAAGTCTTACTAGAATGATTTATCATATTTACTGTAAGTCCGTCTGGTGATTTCCAGGTGCATTTGTGTATATCTTTTCGAGCAAAGTTAAAATTTTACCGTCGATTCCAAAAAAAAAACTACTACGAAAAAGAAAAAAAAAGTTGCTTTTAAAATCAAAGCATCAAAAATATTTAAAACTCGTTATTTCTCAAACACCAAATTTTTTCATTATTTGATTAAAATTCATTTATTCGAGCGTTCAATCTTATACCACTTTCTTCATTTTGTTGGGTTGTTTTATCATTTCTGTTACTTTGTATTCCAGTTCTTCCTTTGACAGAATTTTCAGTTTTTTATTACGCTTATAAAAAGAAAGTATTTGCTTTGTCGTGAAGTTGCGACAATCTGCTGATTCAGCCGTTCATTCATCTGTTGTGTTTTAATTTTGCTGTGTAAACATATTTTGACATAAAGTCAGAACCTTGATTAATTCCGTTATTTAATAGATTTCTCGGTTATTTGACACTCAAGAGAATTAAATTTTTCTCAGACACAAACTTCGAATCTCGATAATTGCGTTTCGTTCTGTTTAATGCCATAAACGCAATACGTAGAATTAATTGCGGGTACTATTGTATTTGTAACAAACGATTCATGTTATGCATGACTCCATGTATAACTTCCAAATAAACATGTTTTGGCATGTTTTTAAAAGATATTATATATATACAAACCAAATAAGCATCTGCGGTTGCTAGCACTCTTTCTATTGAAAGAGTGCTGAAATAAATGCCGTACTGAAATAAAAAGAATATACTAATTTAAGTATTTTAAATCTTTAGATATATAGTTGACTTCTGCACATCCGCTAAGTCTACACATCATTAATGTGAATTAAAACCTATTTTATCAACTGGATCTAATGTGTTATTTTTATTATTATTATCAGAAATATAATATTCCATTGTTATATTGTAAAGTGATCAGCAAGGAAATATATTTTGTTACGCGCCGCAAATGATCGAATTCAAAATTTCCCAGAATGCATGATAGATATGTGATTTCGGCTACTTTTGACCGCTTATGACGCGTGATTTGTGATTTATAGTTTTATTTAATATTCGCTAGACTATAGACCTATGCGAAAATTGCGCTAAGGTGGTAGACGAATTATAAACCGTCGATAGTGAATTGACAAGACACTATTTTTTAACAACCACAATCCAGTATAAATATTCCTATAATAATAATGGCCATTTGGTTTTCGCTATAGCCATGGCTAATGAACATTCATTAAGAAAATGCTATTTTAAAGAATATTAAAATATTATAATAAACAAATATTGCGACATATAACCTGTAGGTGAGGCATCTAACCACATATCATTGCGGTTTTTAACTAACCAAATTGTGGTTATAAATATCAGTCCGTATATTAATGAATTCGAATCAGATGAACATCAATAAACTATAATCTATGAAAATAAGTTAAAGATTATAAGTGAATTCTACGGAAAAATATTTATTTCTTATATTTCTTATTCTGAAAAAGTGTTTTCCACAATATGACTAAAAGAATTGTACAATACAATTAATAAATTCTGTCTGTGAGAGACAAATCTTAGTGATGAAAAAAAACCCATGATTCATGTAATTTAAAAAAATAAATATTGGTTATGAATGCACTTTTGAAAAACATAAAATTAGAAAAATACATCTTTTTATGTTTTTATTTATTAATAATATAGTTAATAAGTTATAAACATCAAAACGCTCCATTACATGTAGAGATTTATTAATAAACTAGAGCAAATAAAATAAATATTAAATGAGAAGTTCAAGAAGTTAATTATTTAGTGCTCAAAGTTTTTAAAAAACTACCTACACCGTCACTTCAACAAAATCCAATTGTTTATGTAAACATCAGCAGCTGTGCTAAGCGGAAGCAATCGCTAGTCTTTTTTAGTTTTCATTTTCTCTCTTCATCTTACATAGAAGTAAAATAATTATTAGTTTTTAATCAAAATAGGCGATGGAAAATCCAAGGTCGAAGAATAGTCGTGGTTGAATTAAATTTTGACCGGCAAAGCAGTGTCTATAACATAGTGTAACCGCCCAGGGGCCGTGGCGTAACAAACTCCGTCAGGACCCCTCCGCAAAATTATAAATGAGGCCCCTTTAAAAAATTACTAAATGCGACTTGTGTAACAAAAACTTATAATTATGTGTTAGTGTATTGATACACTGTTTATAACAACTAACATTTTTCATCTTTATTGGTATAGAATAAAATAGAACAAAAATTAATAAACGATCACATTATTAAATAATATTATTCTATGAGATGAACAACTTTCTTCGTGCACTCCTATCCGCGAATATATCTACAATTTTATTAATATCTATCTGATGGGCAACCTTGTTTTCGATACTTATAAGTGCTAGAGAAGATAACCGTGCTTCTCACATTGTACTACGAAGATATGATTTTATTACTTTAAGTTTAGAAAAAGATCTCTCCAAACTAGTGGTCGTGACGGGTAAAGTTAAAAATAAGATGTACGCTTGACATACTTCTGGCATGCAAGCACTAGTGCAATGTGAAATCTATGAGAATAATTTTTAATTATAAATAGAGTTTGCCGATTCCAACTGTGTCCTTATTAATTTTCTAACAAATTACAGTTGCTCCAAAAACTCATTACTTAAATCTGACGGGTAAGCAGCAACTAATTTACTGGCTTCGGCAAAAAATTCTGAATCCGATTTGAAAAGATATCCACTTCTAGGATGCAAGACTTTACAATCGTCGTTTACTTTGTACATACTTAAAAACCTAGCTTGAATTTGTTGAATGACTACATCCAGATTTCCGAAAAACACGCCTATTCTATATCTTTCTTTAGGGTTTGAGATGCGTTGATCTTGTAATAATGCATCGAAATGCTTCTTAACCCTACCAAACCTTTTGATTTTAAAAGTAAAGGGCAAGCCACAACTAGTAGCAACATATTTGTATTCTTGTAAAAATGACGTATAGTTTTGCCTAAGATTTAATAAAAATTCTTTACAATCATGTAAAAGTACTGTTGCGAGTGAGAGATCCATATTTTTGGACTGCAAAAGAATGACACCTAAATTTATAGATTCCAAAACTTTATTTTGTAAAATAGTTAGAAAAACAAATTCAAACTGTTCCATTTTACTTCTTAAATTATCATCTCATGATCTGTGGTAGCTTATATTATTTTAGCCAGTGTTTTTAAAATTGTTATGTAGTTCTGCTTTACACCAAGCACGGTTTAAAATCTGGATGACCACCTAGTCACCGATTACGTTTTTAGAGTAAGCGATTTTGATTGGAAATTTTTCTGCGTTGTTAGTAAATGATCTCATCTTTTAATACTTTCGCCGAAAAAATTATAAATACTTTGTATGGTATCGTATTAATCGCGGACTTCTAATATAATATTGCTTACGTACTGCAACACCAAATTTAAATTATGAGATGCACAATGGATGTATGCAGCTTGAGGTTGGACGGCTTTAATTTTCTTTTGCACTCCGGAGTAATGGCCACTTATATTTGCTGTGCCGTCATAACCCTGCCTGTCCGCGACACTTAGCAACTGATATACTTTGTTCTTTTCAAAAAGGTAAAATTAAATTTGAAATATCTTCTCTAGGGACATCAGTAATTGGAT